TACTGGAGATGACACAGTGGCTAAAATCATCCCTACGAGTAGAGATGAATCGAAGTTTTAGCTGGAGATCTCAAAAAAGGATCACCAAAAATCACGAAAAATACTATCTCCAGCAACAGGATCAAATCAAATCACGAAAAATCATGAAACTACTTCCAGCAACAGGATCAGATCAAGATTTTCTGAGATAGGGTTAGTAGATCATAGAGGATACTAAAGAACAACCAATGAATACACACGATGTCAGAGATTATATGCATGTTTAGGTAATCTGCACGGCAAACAGAGTTAGCCTTGACACACGAGCATGGCAACCATCCTGAAGCTCTCGCAAAAGCAGCATCGAAGAAAAGTCACCTCCGTAAATCCTCCATGAGTCTTCTCTTCCACTCCCCCTCCACTTGTATGTGACGTCGCTCCTACCTCGTGGGAACCCGCCCTCGCACCCCTTTGCATCTTCACGCATCACTAGGGCACACGAGGCATCTACATAGTAGCACAGAGAAACCTCAACAGGGCCGTTCAAAAGAAACAGCCCCTCTCCAATCTCGACCCCGTCAGCCTGTGACATGGGTAGATCGCAGCACCAAGCAGCTCCCCCGCCCCTACCATCAACAATCGAAGACCCATGGAGGAAAAACCTTGAAATCCCATACGCCCACATCCCCGCATCGTCAAAAAGCTTGCCTACTCGAGGATTGTAGAGCACTCGTGCGCCAGCAGCACGGCTTAGCCAGTATTTGCAGACAGATGCTGCGGCTCTCCTTTTTATAGAAAAGAAGAAAAAGCACGTCGTTGGAGATATAAGTTATTTCAAAGAATTGCTCCTCCTTCCAAAAAACGCGACACCGGCCGCACGCAGGAAGAGCAGAGGAGAAAGCTCCACGGACTCCTCACCCCTCAACATGCCACCACCTCCCCTACCACACCGCGACATAGCCGAAGACCGTCACGTGTCGCTTGCTGCAGCCGCCCCACTCGCCAGCTCCGCGCCATGCACGCACGCCCAATAGAAAGCACCCAGCACCATCACTTCGCTGTCGCATCGCGCCGCTCCTCCCCGGTGTGAAAGTGCCTCGTCGAACACACAGTATCGATGCAGGCGGGGCGCAGCGCTCCCGGCAGCGCTGCGCCCACCGCTATCGTCCCAATCTTTCAGTACCTTGAAATCTCCCCTTCACAGAGAGAGGAAACTATGCTTGCAGGGGTCCCCTCTCAAAAAAAAAAAAAAAGTCACTCACTGTCACTTTTCAATCTTGGGCGTTCCAATTTTGAATGCCACGAAGGTGTTTGAGGACCCGGTGGTTGCTTGTTGTGTGCCCACCAGGTCCTCAAACAGCTCCGACGTAAACTAAGGAGCGTTGAATGTCAGAAACTTTAAGAAGATACCAGGTAAACCACCTCTGGTCCAGTACTTGGGAGTTGGGACCCGGAGCTGGGACCCGGAGTTGGGACGCTTGCCTTGCCAACCGTAGAAACGCCCTGCACGGCAAAACCAAAAAATACGAACCAGTGCCGGCGGGGTGTTTTCTGTGTTAGTTATCATGTAGGTCATCCTTGTGCAAGAGCGATGCTAATTTTCGTTCTCTGTATCGTTCCAATTTTAACGGATGTCCCGAAGGACCACGTTAAACTTTCTGTTTTGGATGGCACCGCCAGCCATTTAGCTCCAGTAGGTCATGCCCTGAAACCAGCCAAGTGGGACTTACCCCAGGCCCCCCTGCCACAGACGGGAATAAGAGCCCAGGGGGAAAGTGATGCTTTCAACTGACCTGTCCTGGAAAGAAAAAAAGGAAAGGAAAAATCAAAACATCTCTGGGGCGTGTCGTAGAAAAATCAAGGACTGCGCAGCCATTTCTTTGATATGCTCTATAATTATTAATTTAATTTAATTAGAGACCTTGCGATCTTCCTTTTTACTGCCACAAGGAAAGAAACAGGGCCTGGAAAACGCCACAACCAACCCGGGAGGAAATAAATACTGGGGCCATTACCTAGCTTAGGCTCCTGTAAAAGGTGTAGTACGGGGTCCCCCGTCGAAGTACCATCCTCAAAGAAAGGAGTAAATCCTACGAACAAGTCCAAGGCCAGAAGAGCCAATCCTCCGCATGAAAGCCTAATTATTGGGGTAGCTAAATGCCTAATTGGGGTAGGTAAATGACTTCCCAGGGAGACGGCAACATAATTTTAACTTTGTTCCCCTAGCAAGCTCAATATATCGTGGTGGAGTTTGATTAGCTGAAAGGCTGAAACAACCTTGCACCATCCCCCCCCCCCCCCCCCAACCCCCCCCTTTTTCCCCACCGCAAATGCCAACATTTTTCTTTCTTCCTCTCTTTCTTTCTTTCTTTTTTTCAAATGGGTCCGTATCGATATGGTGGTAGAAATACCAGGCCACACAAAAAAAAAAGAGGCCGCTCCTTCGTGGACTCCACTGCAGCTGCTCGTTAGGACACTGAGTGCTCTCAGCTTGGTACTTCTAAAAAAGCGTTGAGACTGCTCCGCTTACTTCGAGGCCACAAGGAGGGTGGGAGTGAGAAGAGTCCGCTCTGTCCTTCCAGGCCACAAGGAGGGTGGGAGTGAGAAGAGTGCTGCCTGCATGTGAAAACTAATAGTACAGAACAGTCTTACCTTGGCATGAGGTACAGCATGGAGAGGAGGAGAGGGAGGAGGACGGAGGCAGGGCTGTTCCTGCTTTCTACGAGGTAGCAGCTGTGGTGCAAGCTCGAGTGACGGACGACAGATGAGAGGAGAGAGTAGGTAGTCTCCATTCAATATTCTTGACCAAGTAGCAGACGCGTCTCAGTCCAGCAGCGAACAGACGGCATGGGAGATATCATAGGGCAGTGTGGTGATGTGATTGTTAGGTTGCTGCTGATGTAAGGTAGGCGATGTAGGACGTGCAGTCCGCTGGTGCAGGCATATCGTGCTTGAGGGGTATAGACTGCCCTCTACACCCTAATGTAGGTCATCATTTTTGCTCTTTTCGGGCCAACATTCCAACGTCCAGATACAGAGACAAACACCAGCCTGAGGTGTTTCATTCGGGTGACAACGGTAGGCTTCGCCTGTGGGGGGTCAGATCAGGGATGGAGATGCGGGCCCTTGTGGGGTATGTGCGGTTTGTATGCATGCCTTTGGGCACGAGAGGGAGGTGTGGGATGGGTGCGAGCCTGCTAGGCGACGTTTGCCAGATGTGAGGTGGATGGGGGAAGGGTTGTGTCGGTAGTTTGTGACCCAACAATTCAGAAAGGAGTCAAAAGGACATGATTGAATTTGAAACTGGGTTAAAAAACTTAAACTTTCCATAAACACTTAAAACAAGTGAATTCTGACAGTCAGCCAGACCGTATAGAAACCACAGAGATGTAACGTTAGGCGAGTTAAGAAGAGGAAACAGTGGAGAAAAAGAAAAGAGAAGGGAAGAGAGGAAGAGAGCGCGAGTGGTCCTGTTCTCTCCAGGTGGGAAGCTTAGGTTGGTTGCTCTGAATAGAGTGTGCGGATCGGACGCGTTGTGCAGTGCAGTAGCTGGTGGAGGTCATGGGCTGCAGCGTGGGAGCGAGCGGGGCTTCATGTAGATTGCAGTTGTCGTCGTCGTTGTCGTCCTCGTTGTAGCCGTGTGAAGCTTTGGCCGTTGGTATGCCTTTGTTTGCAGCCCTTTTGAGCCTATTTCCTGTTTTCATTTTGTTTTCCGTTTATTTGTTCGTTTGGGAATACATTTTCCGCACTTAGTCTGTTTGTGTGTTTGTGTGTTGGCTTCATGTGTATGTGTGCTGTCATGCTTGTGTGACAGTGTCTATGTGTGGCTGAGGCAAGACAGTTATGCTTGTGTGACAGTGTCTATGTGTTGCTAAGGCGAGACGGTTACCTGAGGTGATCACATAATACGGTCTCGTTTTCTTCTCCTTCCCCCATGATGTTCCAAGCACAGGGTTTTGTGTGTATATATGAGGGGGAGGGGGGGG